ACAGGCTATTCCGCTGATGCCCAGACTCGGCTCTCCCAGGCCATCTCCCCTGTGGCCTGGGCCCTGCAACTGTGGGCTGTCTGCCTCCCACTGTCTGTGTGCCAGGTCCACGGGCTCCATGTCCTTAACCCTCGGAGCAGCTGGGCTCGCAGGGGCAGGTCCCCACGACTGAGGGACATCTGCACAGAGAAGGGGTCTGACCTCACGTTACAGCATAAACAGCCAGCACTTGCTTGTACACGCGGAGACCTTCCCGTAAGCGTAGCCCACATGACGCGCTGGCATCACACGGGAGAGGCACCAGGACGGGCTAACGCGACCTCCGTCTTCACTGCTTGGAGCACACGGAATGTGATGCGCACCATCTTCCTTCTCACTTTACTTCCTGCTGCCAGTGGGAGTGAACCATGTAGAAGGTGCTTTGAGCTGGATCTTTGCAAAAAACAGTTTTTCATAATTTGCAGACCTAACCCATGAAAATGACTCGGAAAGACATGACTGGGGTAGATAGTAGCTGTGGTGGCTGGTACAGCTGGACTCTGTTGGGCCTGTTGGGGGTCATTCATCACGTCCAGGAGATGCATGGCCTGGTTCTCAGCTTGTCCGTTCTTTCCAGGACACAGCGGGCCAGGAGCGGTACCGGACCATCACCACGGCCTACTACCGCGGGGCCATGGGCTTCATCCTCATGTACGACATCACCAACGGGGAGTCCTTCAACGCTGTGCAGGACTGGTGAGTGGCTGGCGCCCCCCAGCGAGGCCTCCTCAGCAGCTCCCCCTTGGCGGCTGCCCAAGGGGTTGCCTGTTCTCACACGTGTCCTCTCTGGCAGCCACAGGCCAGCGGGGCCCCGAGTGGCGTGTAGGGGCCAATGGGCCCGATCGTGGTGGTGTCCTATATGTGGTCCCTCAGTGCCTGGCGTCCTGTCCCCCAGGCTCTGTGGGGCCGGGCCCATCACTGATTCTAAAACACAGCGTGTGGCGGCGGTCACTGTCTACCGGGGGCTGGAGCCTGAACCTCAGCCTCGTGGGCCTGGGCGCCCACGCCCCGCCCACACCCCGCCCGGCCCCACTGGCTGTGTGAGTAAAGCTGGATTAGAGCAGCCGGGCTCGTGGGCTTCGTGGGAGGGACCCACATGGCAGCTCGCTGCTGCCCGGGCGCCGCGCGCCCCTGAACCTGCGGTTTCCATCAGGCCCCTCCCGCACACGCTTGCCGCTCCCCTTCCCAGATCTGCCATGCTGTTGCAGGTTTTCTTTCCATTGAAAGGTTTCAAAAGTCTGGGACGAAGGGAAAGGGAACCCAGAGCCTGTTCTGACGCAGCCGCATCACACATCTGAAACCCTGTGTGGCCACGTGGTGCGCACGGGGCTCCCGCCTTGGATAGCCCCGCCTGGTCGCCAGCTCTGGGGAGGGACGGGCAGCTGGTGGAGGGACAGGCAGCTGGTGGCCCTGCCCCTGAGTCCAGCCCTCAGGGCTGACAGGCGGGTTCTCTACAGAAGAACCAGTTTAGCTCCAGCTTTGGGGGATCAGGAGGTCCCTGAGTTCATTAACACCAAGTGGGCCCGCTGGGGTCAACGCCCTGAGTCCCGAATCAGAGGTGCCTCTCGCCCACCGGGACTCGGGGTCTCCCCACCGGGACTCGGGGTCTCCCACACCGAGGGCATTTCCACCCACCTCAGCCCTGCTTGCCCGGCCCTCCCGAGCTCCCGTCCTGAGAGCGTGGCCACCTCGGAGCATCCACAGGCCGCGCCTTATGGCACGATGCAGAGCTATGGGTAGGATGGCTGTTCCCAGGCAGGAGACCTGGTGGGCAGATGGATGTTGTTTAGAAACCACCAGACCAAGGTAACAGTCTGGCCCATCTTCCCGCCGGTTTAATAATTCACTCTGTGCCGTTCAGGCACCTTAACCAGGAAGAACTTCACCTTCAAACATGCGCACCTTCACCTTTTCTCTCCTTTTTCTCCAGAGTAAATAACACACTGAAACGCAGGTGACCTGTCAGACAGGAAAGGACTGTAGCCTGAGGGCCGCTGAGGAGTGGGTGTTTGCTCAGTGTTTCCTGACCTCGGTCAAGGTCCAAGGTCCTCTCAGCTCCCCGTCTGGTTATGCTGCAGCTCCGAGGGGCAGTGACAGGGTGACCCCAATTCCCCTCCCACCTGGGCATCGGGCAGTCTCTCCTGTCCCGGGATCTGAGCGGTGACATTTCTTTTTTTCTTTTTTCTTTTTTAAGGGAGGGAAAGAGAGAGAGAGAGAGAGAGAGAGAGAGAGAGAGAGAGAGAGAGAGAGGAACATTGGTGAGAGAGAAACATTGACTGGCTGCCTCCCGCACAGCCTCAGCAGGATAGAGCCTAAAGCCCAGGCTTTGCCCTGACCAGGAATCGCCCAGACCTCTTGGTATCTGGGTGCTGTTTTCTAGTTTCCAACCGCTGAGCCTCACCTGCCGGTCAGGGACGACCTTTCTTAAGCTGCTCTGACGGGTATGGGACACTCTCCCTGTACAGACAGCCCAACCTGAACTCGCCTTCGTATTTAGAAGATACATGGCTCCTTTCAGAAACGGAAATAAAAGCCCAAGCACATTGTGTGCCTCCGTGTCTTCTCCACACATGAGCCCAGGCGCGGGGACGTTTTGGGGGGCGGGGGAATGACCCAGAAGCCAGCTCTTGGCGTGGAGACAGCATGAGGTGGGCGTTAGGGTTGGCGTGCAGACTGTCGGAGGGGAGCCGAGGGCGGGTGCCTCCTGTCTGGCCAAGCTCTGAAGGTGGGAAGCCAGGGCGGAAAGTGCGTCCTGTGGCTCTGCCTGACCTCACGAGGCCGTGGGGGAACACGAAGGTCCCAGGCAGACCTGGGCTCTGGGGTGAAAGCATTTCCTACACGTGTTGCTGCTCGTTCTGCGTCACCCGCTCTCTGAAACAGACTTGGTCTGTGCGGTTTGTGTCACAATATTTATTGCAAATAATGGCATTTTCTCCCAGGACTCCCTTGGGGTCTCTCCATTTTAAGAGACCTTCTTCCCTGTTAAATGAGCTGCCTGTCTTTGGGGGGATCGGTCTTGAGGGACAGCGATGACACTTACTGTGAAGAGAGCACATCCTCCAGCCCTGGGTGCTCCTTGTGGCTCCTGGGCGGCTTGGTGGTGCCGTTGCATCAGGCGAACCTGTGGGAAGGAGGATCCAGTGTAGAGAGCAGCCTGGGCTTTGAAATGGGCCCCTTGCTTACGGCTGCCTGGCCTCACGGCGCGTTCAGGTCGTCGTCCATGGGATCTCCGTCCAGGCTGCTGCCCCGCAGTGAGCGCACTCAGTTCCCACGCTGGCACTGGGCCCACCTTCTAATACCCGGTAGAGCAGCAAGAGGGTGCGCTCTGCAGCCGCCCTGGAAAGTGAGCGAAGAGGCGGAGTCACAGGTCTATGCGGTGCAGTCCCAGACACCACCCACCCAGCGTGGGGTCCTGGCCCTGGCGGGGGCTCCGAGCCCTGTGATGCCTTCCCCGCTGGTGGAACAGCACCTTTGCAGTTCCATTCGTTAAGGTAATTATCCAGTGACCAGTCGTAAACCACACCCCTGCACACCCCTCCCACATAAATAAATAGACATGAAAGGAAAGCATTCCAAAGAGGAAATTAGGAAATAGCACATTTGTCACGGAGGGTCCTCTCGTTGCCAGAGAAGATGGTCATGGCATACGGGGTGGGACTCTGTTAGATTCAGACAAGACCGTCCTGTTGCCACTTGGCTGTCCCTTTCTGCACCACCTGTTTCCAAACCCCGAGCAAGAGTCACGCACTCCACGCAGCCCCGGAGGTGCCACGTCCCCGCGCTCTCGGCCTCCCTCTCAGTGTATTGTGTCCTGTGGCCTAATTTCGATCTATAAATATCACACATTTTTAGGACACTTTTCCTGCCCAGAGCAACCACCAGGGGTGCCAGTGAGGGAAGAAAGGCCGCAGGGCCTGAGTGGTCAGCTCCGTAGTTCCCAAACGTTCCCAATCCTCACAGCAGCTACAAGCTGTGAGTGGTCACAAAGTACATGCCTGCCCAGAGCCAGAGGAGGTGAAAGGCGCAGTCCTCCACGGCTGGCCCTGACCCCCCACTTCAGACACGAGTTATACATGGGGGTCCCCAGGGCCCCCTCACTCCTGACCCCCTGGCTATAACTGCAGGGCTTCCCATGAACCGTTTTAGATTTGACAATTCACTAGGATGACCTACAGAATTCAGGAAAGTGCTGTCCTTACCATTCTGGTTTGTTTCATTATAACAAAAGGATACAACTCAGAACCAGCCAAAGGGAGCGATGGCGACTGCGAGATCGGGAGGGTCCAGGTGGGGCCCGGAGGTCCTTGGGGAGACGTTGCCATCCAGGGGGTTCCCCCAGGTCTGATGGCCAACCTTCATGGGCCATCACTATGTAGGCTGACTGGTTGCACCATTGCCCCTGGCTGACCTCCTCCTGAGAAGGCAGCCTGGCGTCATGGGACTCAGAGTGCTAACTGTCTGGTCACATGGTTGGTCTTCCTGGCATGACCACCCCTCCCCAATTCTGATTCCATTAGCATTAACTATCAGGTGAGTCACTATTAGCATTAACTATCAGGTGAGCCATCTCATTAGCATTAATTCATCAGGTGGGTCATCATTAGCATAAACCATCAGGTGTGCTTTGGAGATCCATCATGAATAACAGACAATCCAGTCACTTTGGAAATAGTAAGGGTTTGCAGTGGTTCTCAACCTTGGCTGCACATTAGAATCACCTGGGAATCTTCTTAAAATCCTGATTTCTGGGCCTCATCCTCCAGAAATTCTGTTTCTTTGTTACTAATGTTGTGGCCCCACCCCATCACAAAGAAACAGAATTTCCGGAGGATGAGGCCCAGAAATCAGGATTTTAAAAAGATTCCCAAGTGATTCTAATGTGCAGCCAAGGTTGAGAACCACTGGTTTAGAGGTTACCTCCCAGGAACTAGGGACAAAGACTGACCAGATTCTTTATTATAAAGCATTCCTTTATTTATTTATAAATAACTAGAGGCCTGGTGCACGACATTCGTGCACTGGGGGGGGGGGGGCGGTCCCTCAGCCCAGCCTGTACCATCTCATAGTCTGAGTCCCACCACCATAGCTGCGCTCACCAGCCGTGAGCCTGGCTTCTGGCTGAGCAGGGCTCCCACCCAGGGGCAGCTCCTGCATTGATCGTCTGCCCCCTGGAGGTCAGTGCTTGTCATAGCTACCAGTCCTTCCGTTGTTTGGTTGATTTGCATATTAGCCTTTTATTATTTATAAATAATAAGCACATACTATTGGGCCAATCTATAATGCACATTACAAAACACAGAAAACTAGATGCTAAAATGATGGATTGAATATAAATAGAGTTTTGAATAATATAGTATTGTGTTGTATTTCTTGTGGAAGAGCACGTTGTAGAAAACGTTCCTAACAGCCACACCCGCCATGACGACACCTGTTGGCTTCCCAAATATTCAAATCAGCTTCGTTGCTCTGAAGTGAAACGTAGTGACAAGGCCAGTGTGACAGGGTCCTGTGGATATAGCCCATCAGCTGCTGATGTCAAAATGTCAAAACACTCCTTTTTATGAGCAAATCGTAGAACAACAACTATCTCTATCTCCGGTTCCATCCCTAAGCCCACCTCTCATCCAATGCCTCCCCTCAGCCTGCAGCCTCTGGGTCGCTCTGGGCTTGGTCCTGAACGCGGCATCTTTGATAGA